GCTAAAAATCAAGGGTTTCGAGTTTTAGAGAGACAGAGCGATTCCTATTGAGAGAAAGCGACGAACCAGAGTTCCCAAGTGACCTAGCTTGATCTTCATCACTATTGGAGCCCGGCTTGAGCTTGGAGAAGTGCCGATTGACGACCAGGAGCAGAAACCCATCCTTCACAGTATGGTTTCCGCATCTGAATCTGCTTTTGCTTCTTTCTCCATGGAGTAGTTCTCCCATTAATCTGGGTATGGAGAACCCTAGATTTGTATGTTAGGTCTGATTGTATGAACCCAAGTACAGATTTTATGATTTGATTATATTCAATTGAGGCTTGAATGATTGAATGACTTGAATCCTGATCAAATTCCTGGTATTTCTGATTTAGCCTAGAAAGAGAATATCTGCCTAGGTTAATAGAGCACCCTTAGTTGAAGGTAGTGAATTGACGACTTTAGTCGAGGAGCCAGTTCACTATTATGTACCGAATTTGCTTCGGTAGTGGAGGTTTGGTTCGTTAGGGCCTCAATCTGTTTACTCCGGTGGAGGTTAGTCGCCCGCTGGAGACTCAGATTGAGAGGGTCTGGAGACCTTTAGTCGAGACTTCAGACTGTTTAAGAACCTTCCGTAGTATAATTATCATAGAAACTGAACTTGGTAAATTGCAATCCGTCTTAACTGTAGTCTAGGGGGAACCATATCCGGGTGACCTCTCTCGACTTGAAATAACCGTTTAATTGCTTGCTTTACTTGTTTGCTTGTTTGAACCTGCACTAAAGTTTCACCGCTAGATATTAAGAATTCACTGAGTAGTCATCACATCTAGGACCCGGGTTGACATTAAAACCCAAACCCGCTATACTACGCTTTAGGAAGTGGTTACACTTGGCCATTTTCTAGAGTGACAGTAGGAGTGAGTCAACTAGCTACTAAGGCTCCCTGGTAACGGCGCCAAAAAGATTGATCACTTTGATCTGTGCAGATTATCGTCAATGGGTAGCATGTGTCAACAACTACCCATCCTAAGCCAAGTTTAACCTAAGATGGCATTGTCGTATAGTGGTAATCAAAGTCATATTTTACTCGGGTCCTGGTACCCTAGCCTACTTCCCACCTTGTTGTTAATTAGTTAATCGGTTTTGGATGTTTGTGTGGAGGATATGAGAGAGTTACTAGTTTAGAGATTGATTCAAGCTAAAAGCAGGTACTTCCGGGTACTATCCCTCACCCTAACCTAGGGCTACTATGCATGTCTAGATACTTAGGGTTGTCTAATGTGGTGAGTGAGCTCTTTGTCTGTGGGCTTTCGTGGTCATCCACATGCCTTCGAGTACGCCTCCTCTAAACCCATATAAATTGACCTCGATCTAGGCTATCGTATCTGGTGCATTAAGCTTGTAGCTTCTTTCAATGGATACTATCCACCGTCCACACCGAGGTTTCATCACGGGTTCTATCTAAGAAGTCTACCTATAGCAGGGGTTCAACAACCTCAACCACTATAGGCCCCCATTCAGACATATACCTTAATTTACTTGATGGCGCATATCCATCTAAACCTAGAACTCCATACCTAGCGTAGAAGCATAAAGTAGGCTAATAGAGAAGATTAGGGCGACTTACCAAAACATAATCAAGGATAGAATAGCAATAGAATCAATTAGATAGACACATTCATTCAAACCCAAAAATATACATACATAGTAAACCCTAAAACTAGGATTTGGCGTTAGAACCCCTAGTACCTTAGAAGACTACTCCATAAAGGAGGGAAGAAGATACATAGAAGAAATTGAAGAAAACTTGAGGTTGAGGAAGATGCCTCGTCTCTTCTAATTCCTTCTCCTTCTTCTCCTTCCTCAGCTTCTCTCTCTTCTCTCTCTCTAAAACCAGAAATTCTTCTCTCAAAATTTGCTCTCCTAAAAGGGGGAAAGGGGTCTTCTAATTATAGGCAATCTAGGAGACGGAGAAGTTCACGTCTAGTAGTGTAGAGATCGCAGTCGTGATCTTCAGAGGTGAGGCCGCGATCTTGAAACGCCGTCGTCTTGGCCTTCGGAAATGAGGAGATCGCTGGCTGATTTCGCGGTTGCGATCCACGAGTTGCGGTCGCGATCTTCCTCGCGGTCAGAAAATTCTATGGCCGTGATTTGACTGGGGAAACTCTCTGTTTCTCCTCGTCTCCTTCCTCAGGAAGTTCGCGCCCTGAGCCCTCCAATTCGCAGTCGTGATCTTCAGCTTGAGTTCGCGGTCCATAGGAACAAAATATATCGACTAATAAACCCTAAAATCACATCGAATTCACGTAGGAACGAAATAGGGATGCAATCGATGATGTTCAAGCAATTATGCACATGAATAGGTACGAAACAGGCCTTGATATGAGGGTTAAATAACACTAATTTAGGTATTATCAGAGCATAATGCCTATAAAAGAGCCTGAATTCCACATAGTCATAGTCGATCGCTGGGGATTAGCATATCATTCGCATGTTGATCTGAATCCTGCAGGGATCGTTTGTTTCCTCACTCTCACCCATCATATGTACGCCTTTTTCTGGTGAAACAATCACTCATTTTCTTTATCTACATTTGTTAATTCGCGGATTTCCCTGCAACATTCGCCCTTCAACTGATAGTAATCACAAATGCTTTTCAAAATCCTCTAAATACACGATTTTATGTATTTAAAGCAATAGTGCGAACTCCTCTTTCATATATTTTGTAGATTTAGAAATATACTACAAATTTGTTTAGTGTAATTAGTTAAAACTAAAGTTGTCAACTCGATTTAAACCGTTGACTTGTTCAAGCAAGTGGTTAAAGGTTAATGATCGAATTAGATAAAATCGACTTAGCCCAGCTTTACCGAGATCTATGAATTTATTGGTTCCACATGTATTGAGCTTAGATATTTAAGATTTTTTTCTGGTAAATTTAGGTCCAGTGACATTTTGATATAATTCATTGCGGCTGAATTGCATTAATTGGAACTTATTTTCCCACTAGGGTAGAACTTTGGGGCTAACTACCAAACGAAAAAAAAATGACACTTTAATTCACAAACCCTTTCCTCTTTCTTTTTATCATTTTTCATTATCTATATATTTTCTCCTTCTTTATATTGCTAGATTTTATATTTTATTCTCAATGTTTTATTATTGTTTTTCTCCAATTCGATTTCAAGTACATATACAAATGAGAAATTTGCAATATGTTAATCACACAAAGTTCCAATCTAAATGCATGTTCCTCTAAACTTTATTTATTCTTCTTTGTATGAGATGTGGTCTATTAAGACTATTATCACTTCATAATATTGTCTCCAACTATCAACTATAGTAAGCACACATAATATCATTATGTTTTCTAGTAAATCAGAATTTAAGTATGTTAGTTCACATATTTATGGTATTACAAAGCAAATGTTTGCGTTTTAGTGTACTCTATTAGCAAAGAGGGTTATTCTTTAATTTCTCATTTGAAATGAAAATTACATTCAATAAAAGTTTCAAATTTCGATAGTAACTGAATTAAATTTTCATTTATGATTGTTTCGAACATTGTTAAATAATTTTTGAACATATATATATAGTTGCTAATAATTTCTTATGATGAAAGAAGATAGAATAACAATTTATCCGTGAAACTCTCCTAGTATCATCTATGTGGAAATTAAAGGGGTCGTTTGGAAGTTGCGATTGCTAAATAGATGTATTGTTGAGAATGCATGTATAATATTATACATGCATTGTCGAATTTGGTGCATTGTAGAATACAACGTTTGGTATGTGTGATTGTGTATGTCGCATCAGCTAAAAGTTGAGACAATACAATCTCAACTCAACTATCTCAACAATCACAACTAAAAGTTGAGATATAACAATCACTCAAAATGAGTGATAGTTTTTGTCACATCACAGAAACAATCCATGTATTGTTTCTGCTAAAAAAAAATGATGCATTGTAAACAATACATGCATAATGACAATCTCAACAAAACTATCGCAACTTCCAAACGACCCCAAAGTCAACAATACTACAAAATATACAATCAGCTTATTTAACATCGTGTCGTCTCCGATGAGACACCTCGACATCCGCCATACCGTCAAGGAGATAGCTGATCATAGCAATCGTCGCGGCGCAACTCCTAGGTTTTTTTTTAATGTAACAAATCTATTTGCCAGTTTTTTTTTACAAATCAGAAGCATTTTCATTCAAAATCGGTTGAGGTACAAGCTTAGCTCATTACCCCGGGGGGGGGGGGGGGGGAATTAAATCAAGCAGTGGGGAGATTAAATCAAGCACTTGGATCCATTGAGAAGGAAGGGTTCCTCTCGCAGCTTTTTTAGCCACCCAATCTGCACACTTGTTCTGACTTCTTGGAGAAAAGCAGACATTGACAGAATCATTAGAGGTGAGGATTTGTCGCATGCAATGAAGCCAAGACCTGACTTGCCATGGCTAGACAGCCTCGCGTCGACGAAGTGCATTAGTAAGAACCTGACAATCCGAGTACACAATTGCAGACTGTCATGACGAAGCTGCCAATCTAAGTGTGACTAATAGAACTTTTGCTTATGCCACAATCCATGTTGAACAAAAGAGGGTTCCACCCTTTTCGTCTATCACTTGTCCATGGGTATTGCGAATAACAATGCCATAAGCCGCCAATTGTGAATCCGAGACAAAAACTCCATCACAATTAATCTTCAAATGAAAGAAACTAGGCAGTGGATCAAGGTTAGAGAAAGCTGGAGGGCAGATTTTTACATGAAGCGTGACAAATTGATTCTTATGTTAAAAATCACAAAATTTAACATAATTTAGTTCAGTTATCATTTGCCATGGCTATGCTAATTTAGGAGTCGTTTGGAGAACAAGATTTGGATCGTGGATTTATTGAATCCATAGATTTAGCAAAATGTTATTTTTTTTGCTACTTTTTGTATCGTGGATTGTAACTTCAGAGATTGTAAATCTATAAAATCTAGAAATATCAAATCTCTCATGATTAGAGAGATTCTACATCTTGATTTTGGAGATTTTCTCCCTCCTATTATATCTCTTGTTTTTCATTTATCCCACTAAATACACTTACCAATAAATTCTCAATATTTTTCGAGCCAATCTAATTATTTTGGTTAAGGATAAACATGTTATGTGATAAAAAAATATAATTTCTTTTTTCATTGGATGTTAACAATCATAGTTACCAAACAATGAACATTTTCAAATCTTTTTTAACAATCCAGAGAGTTAAAATCTTTGGATTGTCTATAATCTAGAGATTTACACTCCAATTCTCCAAACCAGCCCTTTAGTCCAGTTTGATTGTGGCCTGTGGGGGAGGGTAAATGAGAAAAAATGAAGGGAAAGCGGGTGGGAAGATGGAGTCAAGCAAGGCACTCAAAAGTCATCGCGCCTCCCAGGCAGCAGTCCAGTCTTTGGCCAAAAAAGCAATTGGCCAAAACCCCCACCAAAAATCCACAGCCAGCGGCAGCCATTGTCGTTCCGTCTTTGACCCGATGAAGATTTTGAATGATTCATAACTCTCCTGAATCTTCCCTTTCACACCCATCGCCAACGTATACATCCCTCACCTCTTCTTTTCCTCTCTCCCCTTTTAGTTTCGGTCGTGACCTTTCATTTTTTCCAAACCTCCTTCTATACGCAGCTGCCGGCCTCTTTCACACGTCCATTGCAGAGTTCCTCCATCAAAGTTTTGTTCTTGGATCGGATTCCCAGCTCGGGATTCTTCATTATCTCAGGTGGGTCTTCGTTTTTGCCCTTCTCGAACCGAATTCTGTAGACACTTTAGGTCGTCGACGTGTAGAATTTTCATTTCTTGAGTTAGTACTGTTGCATCTATGCTTGTGGATTGGATTAGATTCCTTCAAAATTTTCATTTATAACTTGCTGAAATTTTCCCTCTTTCCATGCTGAATTTGCTTCAGGGGGTTTCTATGATTGTTTGATTGGAGGGTTTTAGAGTTCGTGGTGGCGGTACTCATGGACTTGAGAAGCTGTGAAATGGATGGTTGAGCAGCTTCTCTGACTAAAACTCATTTGGGTTTCCTTTTCAACACGATGATCAAAAGTCATATTTTCGAGTGCTGTATTAGAATCTTGGTGTGGTTGCTATTGAGTTCTAAGTTTAGCCATGGAGTTCAGTCTGATATTGATTGCTTGAGGAGCATAAGGGAGTCTCTCCAGGATCCTTTCAATTATCTCAGTGCGACATGGAACTTCAACAACAATACCGAAGGCTTCATCTGCAAGTTCACTGGAGTAGACTGCTGGCATCCAGATGAGAACAAGGTCTTGAACATTCACCTCTCGGATATGGGTCTCAAAGGCGAGTTCCCACGTGGCCTTCAGAACTGCACAAGCATAACAGGCCTCGATCTCTCGAGCAACGAGCTTTCGGGACCTATCCCTGACAACATAGCTTCAATCGTTACCTTCGTAACCAGTCTTGACCTCTCTGGAAACAAGTTAACGGGTTCAATTCCGTCTAACCTTTCGTTTTGCAGTTACTTGAATGTGCTGAAACTGGACCATAACCAGCTAACTGGTCAGATACCTGGAGAGATAGGCAATTTGAACCGGCTCAGGACGTTTAGTGTCTCCAATAACCAACTGTCTGGTCCTGTCCCGATCTTTCGCAATGCATCCAACACCATTAATGCAGATAGTTATGCGAATAATCCAGGCCTTTATGGGCCTCCTTTGGAACGATGCCTTGGTGTCACGAAGAAGTCACACTCCGGAGCTATTATCGGAGGAGCTATTGCCGGGGCAACCGTGGTGGCGATCGGGGTGGTGATATGTTTGCTGCTCTATCTCCGTAAGGCAGGTGTGATTAAGAGTAAGAAGGATGATGATCCTGAAGGAAATAAATGGGCGAGGAGCTTAAAGGGAATTAAAGGCACAAAGGCAAGTTATACTAACGCATATTTGTTGGAACCTGGGGAGTTTCTTATTCTCTTTCACCAATTCTTATCGTTATTTTCTTCTTATTAACTAAGAGATAGTGTGGGCATTTCGTCCAGGTTTCCATGTTTGAGAAATCAGTCTCCAAGATGAAACTGAATGACCTGTTGAAAGCTACTAACAACTTCCACAAGGAAAACATCATTGGTTCTGGGAGAACCGGGACTATGTACAAAGCACTTCTCGAAGACGGGACTGCACTCATGGTCAAGAGGTTACAGGATTCTCAGCGCTCCGAGAAAGAATTTTTGTCAGAAATGGCTACTCTGGGGAGTGTGAAGCATCCCAACTTGCTCCCACTTTTAGGATTCTGCATAGCCAGCAAGGAAAGGCTTGTTGTGTATGAGAATATGGCAAACGGAAGCCTCTACAACTACTTGCATAGTGAGGATGAAAACAGAAAACCAATGGAGTGGACTCTTAGGCTGAAAATTGGGACAAGAGCTGCAAAGGGATTCGCCTGGCTCCATCATAACTGCAATCCACGCATCCTGCACCGGAACATCAGCTCCAAATGCATCATGTTGGATGCCAAGTTCGAGCCAAGGATATCTGATTTCGGTCTTGCGAGATTGATGAATCCGATCGATACCCATTTGAGCACGTTCGTGAATGGAGAGTTTGGTGACCTGGGTTATGTGGCACCGGAGTATGCTCGAACCCTGAGGGCAACCCCTAAGGGAGATGTGTATAGTTTTGGGATAGTCCTCTTGGAGCTGGTGACCGGTGAGAAGCCTACACATGTGAGCAGAGCCCCAGAGGGTTTCAGAGGGAATTTGGTTGACTGGGTAGCTGAGCTATCCGCGAAAGGCCAACTTCATGGCGCCATTCATCAGTCTCTGCTTGGGAAGGGAGTCGAGAAGGAGGTTTTCCAGGTGCTGAAAGTCGCTTGCAACTGTGTGGTGGAAGGTCCCAAAGAGAGGCCTACTATGTTTGAGGTGTACCAGCTGTTGAGAGCAATTGGGGAGCAGTATCAGTTCACGGCGGAGGACGAAGTCACATTGCCTATTGACGGTGGTGATGCTGATTTCATCGAGGAATTGATCGTTGCTCGGGAAGGGATCCAGAGTAGTTGATGCGGGAAGAAGATTGCAGAGGTAGGTAGGGAAATTGGAACGAAGCCCACCACAGCTTGTGATGTAAATTAGTATATGAAATTGGTGTATGTTTGAAATAAAAACTGATGTTTCGTGTGTATGAATTATTTTCCCAGCACTTTCTTCCTTTACCATACTTCACCTTTGTATCGAAAAAGCCAGTAGAGGTACTGTAACCTCAGCCATTTTCTAGGAAAGCTGGGATCTTTACCTTACCGTTAAAAGTCGATATTGAGTGTACGTGGGCACCGGGTCGTGCCGCCCACGGGCTAGCACGATATGTTACGATTAGAGCACGGGCACGAAATAAATGGGCAAGCTCGATATGAGCACGAATAATTTATGGGTCGTGTCAGGTCTAAACTTTATGGGCACGGGCACGGTATATAAGTGGGCCGTGTCAGGCCTAATATTTTCGAGACTTTATTGAGTATAAGAACGGACATGGCACGAAAATAATATTTATTTGATAAAAAATTAATATAAAAAGAATTATAGGTTCAAATATTACAAAACACAAGTAGAAAAATAATTATTTGTTGTTGTTAGAAGTGCCATAAAAATATATACGTAAATACTAACATAAGTAAAAATGGACAAAGAATTAAACAAAACCAAATCACACTCACTATACTTTCAATTTTCTTTTCCCCATTCTATCTTAAAAAAAAATTCTTTTCTCCCTTATTTGTTACTTTTCTCAAACATTATCATTTAATACTATCTTCCTCCGTCCAATTTTCACCTTCTTTTTCATTCTCTCTTTTGTTTTCGTCCTTTTCATTAAACATGAATACGAACATGACACGAGCACGAATAGGCACGACACGATTCGAATCGTGCCCGGGCTTGGGCCGGACCTAGCAAAGTTAACAAATTGGCTTGCATGGCACGACACGAAAACTGACGGGCCATGCCAAGAACGACACGAAATAAATGGGCCCAAAGCGTGTCCGTGCCGTGCCAGCCCAAGCACGGCCCAACGCCTATGTACAAACCTGGGAGAGAGAGACGGGAAGAGAGAGGGAGAGGGAGTATATGAGGTTAGGGATTTGTGAGAAGATAGGGTAAAAGTAAAATGGCTCCATCCGTTTTGCCCAGCAGCAAGAGCCAAAACACAAGAGTCATAAGGCAAAATGCACATAGCTAGCAATTTCGGTTTTGGGAGGGAAAACCGAACCGGACTGAGTTAGGACAAACCGAACTTAAATAGAATTCGGTTCGAATTCGGTTTGGCTTGTGGCTGGATTTAGAACCCTGGTAGTAGTCTGTTCGGTTCGGTTTGAACCGAACCGACTGAATGCCCACCCCTAGGTTGAGTTGCCGGAGAGCTTGACTGGTTGATGGAGGCAGATCCGTCAGCGAGCAGAGGACTGGCGAGACGGTGAAGATGACGAGTAGAAGGCAGAGACTTGAATTTCGGTGATGACTCGGCTCCATAGACGATATGCAGCGGAAGTCGGATGCCCTCTTCTCCACTTCAGTTTTGTCTAATGAGATGGAGGTTGCACTAGTGCAAGGGAAAGTGGTGACTCCGACTAAGGGTAACGATGTTCCGACAACCTGGGTAGGGTTGATCTTGAACCGATGATATCGATGGTCCCATGGAGAGGTTGACTAACAGTGAGCTTGACTTCAGCTAGGCCGATGGGACTACAGACTTGTACTGGTTGTGGATAAGCAATTGACGATTGATGAAGATGGAGAAACAATGGAGGCGGAAGTGTGTAAGCTCAAAAACCTAATCAAGGATCGAGTTTTGCTCTGATACAATGAATAATTTGATAATGCAGAAGGAAAAAGAACACGAAACAACCAATTTTACGTGGTATCCTCGATCGATTGATCGAGACTAATCCACGGTGAGCTCGGAAGAGGTCACGGTAGACGTTTTATTGAACGACTACATTGTGACGGCTTGCATACGACATGACGGTAGCTAAGCATTATATAAATAAAGACTTTGGGTTAAGACCATAATGCCACGACTCGAACAAGGCCCAACAATGCCCCAGACTAACTCGGTTTAAGTAACCGCAACAACATATGCATAAGCATTTTTCATCTCAGTTTTAATTAATATCCTGTAAACACTTTCCAATCGTGCTCTTAATGCATCTCATTTCTATGAGTTTTGGTGGGGTGTAGTCGTGCATATTCTGGAGTGTGGGTGATGGGCCTGTTAGTGGATGTTTTGAACAAAGCTGTTTGAACCTTCTAGTAAGATATATTTTTTAATCACTTTAATATTCATCTTTTTTTTGCATAAATAATTTGCTTTCGAGTGTTAATGTATGCTGAAATGTTTTTCATCAAATGAAGATTGCATTACATTTTCATGTAGAAGGTGCACATTACAAAGCTCAAAGTGGCCTTTTCCTTCAAAGGTAACTACAAACACCAATGACCACCTCTCTTCTAGTCATACAAAGCTCATACCAAATCAGGAAATAAAAGAACTTTTTGAAATTGAGGATGCACATTACAAGTTTAACCAAATCCTTCAACTTATAACATAAAGACAAACATAGGTTGCTAAACGAACTAGAGAATATGATGAATGCTCTCTACTCCTATGCAAAACTATTACCTTCTCCAAAATCGAGAAGACATACTTTAGCATGAGGATCCAAATTATTCAATGATGAACCATAATTATATAATTCATAGCTAGACTAACCAACTCAGATAGTAGGACTCAACTCTAGATCATGAAAGTCATTTGTTTCCACGAAACTTCCTTGTTTCTTCAACTTTCCATCTATGATCCATAAATAAAACTTATTTTGAGTGGCATAAATGAAAAAAGCTTTTATCAATCCTAACTATAGGTGGATTTCTCACCTTTCCATTAAGAGTGACAACCATCCCAGAAGGTTGCAAAGGAAATGGAGAGCTAAATATGCCTTCCATTGATATTTGAAGGATGAGATGCAAAACTCTTCCTCATTGAAAATGGAGAGTGAGAAAAGGCATTGAAAACACTCTCTAAACCTTTCAGCTAAAGGAGTCACATTACTTGTCACAATGGCTTCGTAAACACTCTCTAAAGCTTTCAGCTAAAGGATTCCTATTACTTGTCACAAGCCATATGAAAGCATAAAAAGCATTGGCACAGTTCATTCTTATTGTTGATTAAGTATGTACAATGTGAAGATTCATATGTCGAGAGAAAATGACTATGCTATAATACAATGGGAATTGGAAACCAGAGTTTACAACATTTTTCACATGGCAGTAGGCAGCTATTGTCGGAGAAAAATTCAAGGGCCACGAGTTGGGGCAAAGCAGAAACAACCAATGTTCTGGTCTTCAGGATCATCCCTCTTCTTTTGCTCGTATCAATGGCTTCCAACATCTTCATAACCTCGGCCATCTCAACACGCTTCTCTAAATATCCATCCCATCATTTCTTCATGATGTTTTCCAGTGAACTCGGACAACACCTCGGAATTTCATGTTAGAGATTGTTTCGAAACATATGTGACGTCGGCAAAGTTGAGATCTGAGTATGGCATGTCACAACAATAGATTTCCCACAAACACAAGTTGGATTTTTAAACATTTCACCCTCTATTGTATGGCCTCCCATCAAGAAACCTCAGGTGTCATTACCCAAGGGTACCAGTTTTGTCAGTCATATCACTTAGACTTTAAGCTTTCACTCGAGCAACTTTGAAATAAAAAATCTTGAGTTTCATGATCATCAAGCAACAAGTTCTTAGATTTTACAACACAATCTTCTTTGAGTGTAGATAAATGAGACCCTTAGAGAGATCCAGAGCTAGTTGTATCACAACCTTTATAAGAAAGCTTCTTCCTCCTATTACAACATAACACACCCTTGTAAGATGTCTATCTTAAAACTTGTTTGCAACCTTAAGATATGAAGTTCCCATTGATGCTCTACCAAACATTGTGACATTAGGATGGTCGAGCTTATGCCAAACAACAACCTCTTGTGGAAACGATGCCTTGGGAAAAGCATCTTTATCTAGTGTGATCGTCCCATCTTTCCCTCAGCCAGTACTTTTACTACAACATCTTGGTTATCATAAGAGCCCTTATAAACGTAGCATTGCCCCCCTGTTACACTCTCCCAACTCCCTTTTTCATAGTGCTCATCTAAAAGGGCATGGTTCAAATCTCATTCTTAACACGGAATCTTTTAGTATCTCATTTACAAAATATTTTTTTGATAGATTCATTTATAGACTGTTAAACTCTACTAAAATCATAAATCTTATAGTAACCTAATTTAGAATACTAAAAGGGCTTAAATTGCTTAGTTTCTTCCAATATCTTAAAGTAGTGCAAGATGGACAAAGAAGTCCAAAAATGAGTTTTTCTTCCATATGACAAGCCTTTTAAAGAGACTCAATATGCGCACGCTCGATCCTTTTTCGAAATTCATGTGTACAAATGAAATACTAAACTTATTTTTTACTTATCATGATATATAAATATAGCATGTTAGCCTAATAGTGAGATGATATATAAAATCATGCAAATGTTCAACTGGCATAATGTTTCATTCATACGAATTACGTCTTATTTTAGCTTTTCATTCAATGCAACATTGACATGTGGAGGTGCAGTGACGGAGGGAGGTGGAAGGGAGTGGGGTCTTAGGACCCCACTCGGATAAATTGAAATAGTTATATGTATGTACATACTTGTTTAATTTGGATAGATTTAGAATTTAGGACCCCATTCATATGGAATTTAATTTTCCTAGTATTATGAAACACACAAATAAATTTGACTATATTGGTCATATATCATTGAAAACCCCCCAATTTTATAGTCCTTATTCTAAAAATTTCTAATTCTACTAAATATGTGTACAAAAACCTCCAGCTATATCTAAAAAGTTCTTAGTTCAAAAAAAATTTCATATCAATATACAATTTCTTTGTCATCAAATGTGTTTTTATAAAACGTTTGTGTGTATTAGATTTTGCTTGGGAACTATTTATCTTAGCTAGTTATTGAAATGTCACTTTTCAATTATGACTTATGAGTTACACAAAATGTAAGGTACAAATCTAATAACTAATGGTTTGATAAATGACTACTTAAGTGAATATTTTTAAGAAAATTTACTTGATAATTGAATACAATGTTATAGGATTTTTTTGTAAATGAGACCCCATTAAACTCGAATCCTGGCTACGCCACTGTGGAGGTGTGTGTGTGTGTGTGGGGGAGGGGGGGGGGGGGGGGGGGGGGGGGGGGTTTCAACCACAACACTTTTCAAAAGAAGGGCACATTTGCAATTGCAAGGTGTCCAAAAAAAAACTATAATGAACATAGATTATATGA